ACAAATATAAGAACAATTGGAAATTTAGTTCATATAGCATCAAATCGTGAGGAGTACGCTAATATTGTTGCCAGCATTCGCTAACTCGTCAAAGGTACGCGCTTACATCCAGCAATGGATATGCAGCAGAAGAAGAAGTGATATTTTTCGAAAGCAGGATATCGTTTTATAATATATCTTGTGATGTTTTTCCTCCACTTTCTATTAATTACTATGAATTATTCAATTCATAACAGCAGTTATACAATAATATTAATATCATATAAAAAAGTTATATTCTTATAGTCTGCCAAACACTGAATATAGCTTCTGATATTTCAATTGACATCTACTGGTACGCATACCAGAAGGTACAATTAACAATTTTGGTCTTGTTTTATGAGAAAAAAAAATTAAAGATTATCGTTGTTTTGGTAGTTTTTGCGTGTTAAAAAACAACCTACGATTGTTAATGTGAAATTACTATTTTTGAAATTTGTTTGATAAGATTTAAAGAAAAAAACATTTGCAATTATCAGCAGTTCATTGTGTATCCTGCATTTTTTTTGTTGTTATTTAAGTTTTTCTTTCATTGATGGAACTTATTACTATTTAAACTGCCATATTATTTACCAACTTTTTCTTATTATTTTCCACAGTTTATTGTAAAGATTTTTCAATCTCAAATGAAATGCTTATATATGACGGGGATAAAGCTGGATCAAGCCAGTCTAAGTCATTTGGCGAAATGAAATGTTGTGGAAAATAATATCCTGGCTGGGATAAACTCGGCTGGGATATGGTACGGAATGAAAGGACGATGCTCTATTCTGAAAGAAATTTCTAGAACTAGGGAAATTTAAATCCAACGTTGCGGCCCTGCAAGAATTTACGGCCGAGCGGATTCGCTACATCAGTGATACCCGTAAGAATTTGTTATCCTATAGGCGAACTATAGGACAGACTATGATTATAGGTTGCAATGAATTAGGTTTTCTATGGGGAAACTACTATTGAAGTTGTATGGCAGCTATCACAAGCTGTCAAGAAATTTCTTCGAGTATACGTTCGTACGGGTATAAAAATATACTATAATATATACTATTGTAGGTTTCTGGATTAAAAAAAATGAAAGGATAAAGTTCTTAGATTCATACGTATTAAAGGCATATACAATAATTTTACACTTGTTCAAGCTTACGTGTTTTCATAAAATAGATAATATTAATTTTAGGAATAAGATTGAAGGTACGTATTTGCAACGGTGTTAATAAATAAGATATGTTGACAGTTTTAGGTGATATGAACGCTAGCAAATGTTAGGTCAATAGTGAGCACTTCTTGCATGGAGAGACATCGGTAAATCTTTAATAACAATTTATAATAGATAGCAAGTACTCAGTTTGTGCATAAGGATATTTACAGTTTTAGGTGATATGAACGCTAGCAAATGTTAGGTCAATAGTGAGCACTTCTTGCATGGAGAGACATCGGTAAATCTTTAATAACAATTTATAATAGATAGCAAGTACTCAGTTTGTGCATAAGGATATTTACAAAACACAAAACCTAATCACATTGCCCATATGCCAGTAAATAAAAGAATATTATCAAATATAATTCGAAACACACAAATGAATTTAGATTGGGAAAAAACAGATGTAAAAGGGGAGAATTATTTTTTTTAGAACGTGCTAAAAGAAAAAAACGAATCGCTACATCAGCTTCTTAGTACTATCCATTTCTTTCCTAAATGAATAATTTGTCTCTTTACATGCCGGTAAGCCCTGTATACAAGTTCGTACGATACTGATTTAAAATTGTCTATTTTTCTTTTGAATATTTGAGAAAGTCTATTTATAAATGTTCTATCGAGTTTGTTCTTTTCCTTTTTGAATTGTTAAATTAGTTATAGCTTTAGTATAATTACGTGATACTGGTGTGTATTCAAAGAATCGAATACTTTTCCAAGCTCCCTTATGAATTTAATGAGTCCTTTCTGAATTGAAATTTCTAATAGTATCGTAATTACCCAATCTGAAGTTCTGTAATCTAAAGAGTATTTGATTTGTTTTTAGCTACCTAAAGTTCAGTAGTTGGGAGTCAAGAGTCACTTAAATTTAATTCAAAATCATCTTCGCAATTTAAAAATTTTATAAAATTCCCTTATATAAAAATAGTCAATAAAATCCGAGATTTTGTTTGTATCTGTAGGCTAAGAAACAGGATTGCCAGTTGAATTATAGTAGCATTCTTAGTTCTTTACCCCTGGTTGAGGTGATTCTAGAAACCCCGTGCGCATGTTTGGCGTCAAAGTTACTTCTTGCTCATTTGATGACCAAACAACTTTTTGTTTACTATATAACCAGGGACTATTTTATAGACTTAGAAATTCATACAAAAAAACGTAACCATTTTAATTTTCTGCTTTTCAGATTTTTAAGTTCCGCTTTTTAGTTTTTTGGATGGGAAATTTTTACTTTTCAGTTTTTAAGAAAAATGTACTGAAAATTACAAAATATATGAAAATATTCAAGTAGGTACAAAAACCAAATGTTAAAAATTTAATTTCTGACTTGAACCAATATTCCTTTTAAAAAAACTGAAAAATAGAAATTTCCCTTAAAAAATTTAATAAACAGCGTTGTTACATATATTAGTTGTGCGTATATTTGTGTAAAATGCAAAGAAAAATACAAATATTTTCCTTCGAAATACACATCACCCCTAACTTATAATAAATATGTATACGCTATAATTCAAAAGTTTTTGTATATGTATATGTGATTGTATATGTATATATTTACTACAAGTATGTGGTGATGTGCATTTCTAGCAAAAGTATTTGTACTTGTGTTTGTATTTCTAAAAAATTTCCCTTAGAATTTTTTAAGGGAAATTTTTATTTTTCAGTTTCAAGTAAAATTGAAATGGTATGTATTATACAAAAATAAAATAAAATACTCGTAGTGTACATTTCATTTCCCGCATTTAGCTCTAAAATAAAAACAATCTAAGAGGCGATGCGAAATTTTAACATATCAATTTACCATAAACCCTCATGCGAGTCTATTAATTGCAATAAATGCATATTTATTTTGAATTTGTTAAAATCTTAAAAAATATAGTGTTGTCTTTTCTAATAACTTATAAGAAAAACTTTTTCTTTAGTTTTTAGACCACAAATTTTAAGCCTTTAATTTTTCAAAAAAAAAATTAAAAGCAATTTCGGTTAGGGTAAGTTGCGGGGCCTCCGAAAGGTTTAACTTACGCCACCTACGCCCGTTGTGATGCCGCCGGATCTCTCTATTTCCCTTTCATTAGAACCGGCCTGAGTTCCTCTGAAACCGGCAAAGGTCCCTGGCAATTATATTTGCTAAGTTCGTAGCGCGCTGAAAAAAGTAGGACCCAAAAAATGTCCGCCTGGAGCTAGCCAACGCCGGATAAAAACATAGTAGGTGGGTCACCGTCTGCTCCCCTTCCTCATCACAGCAGTAAATGCAATTTACCCGAAAGCTTTTTGTACCCTGTTTCATTTTAGGATATTGTGTATTTTAGTATTTTTCGGAATTATATATTGCCCAAAATTATAAAAGAAGAAAGGGAAAAAGTAACTTGCAGGAAAAATATTTTCTTTGTGGGAATAGTATACATATTTTTTAGTATCTAAAAGCTGTTAAAATTTGTAAAAGGAAGGAAAAAAGTAAATTGATGGAAAAATGTTTTCTTCCCACAAAATAGTATATTTTTTAGTATCTAAAAATTTCAGGCTCCTTGAAAAACGGGTTTTAGATAACTTTCTATCCTTAAGAATGTAGAAGTTTTGTAAACATACCAATGGAACGGATGAACGAAGGAAGTGAAACAAATGAGCACTTTTTTTTAAAACTGTGTTTGAAGAGTGCAAAAATGGTAAAATGGTAATCTATAAAAGGCGAAATAATCAACAAGATTAGCTGCAACATCGTCAACACTAATAAAAAAATTATTTTACATCTTTTTTAAAGTCTTCAAAATATTAAAGTTTAAATTTTTTTAATTTTTTTTTTTTTTTAAATTTTGTTTTAACAGCTTTTATGTTTATTTTGTTCCCAAAAGAAAAAAATTCGCTTTTTAATTTTCAATTTCTGAAAAATTTGATTTCAATTCACTATCTCAATCTTGTTTCTGGTATAATTAAAATTTTTGGTTAGATAATTTTAATAGATTTATGCAACATTCCTTCCTATAATGTTTTCGTTTAATTTCAATAGTTTTTGTACCTTTTGAGATATAGCCAAAAAAACTTGGAAGTTGTATGGCAAGTACCGGAGCTAGTACCACAATCATAACCAATTTTAATATTATTCTGGCATTTACCATAAGGAATCATTTCTAACAATTTGGTGAACTTAGCTCACATACTTTTTGAGTTATCATTGGGGCAGACGGACTGACAGACGGAAGGACAGACAAAGCTAAATTGGTTCTAAATTCGACTCTGATCAAAAACCTATACTTGAGTCTATAACTCAGTCCATTATTTCTTAGCGATACAAACGGTAAAGCAAATTTAGTATACCCTTCGAACATACGTTTGTTTAAAAATTTATTTTCAGCTTACTTTTTAAAACTAAATTATTCCTTTAAATGATTATTAGGGTTGAAATGAACCTAGCCGCAACTACATTACTTAAAGTTAAATAAATGAACTGGTGTAAAACAAAATGCTGAAAATTTGATTAATTATGATAACAAGAGGATGAAGTTGATAAATTATGCGCAATATTGTATATTTTATTTTATATAACAAGGTTTTATTATTCTTAAATAACCAACAAACCAGCTTATGACAGTTTGACATTTTAAAGCTGATATCTAGTTTTATTTAACGTGAAAGTATTTTTCTTAAAGCATATTAAATCATATACAATTTTTCCTAGTTTTAACATAACTGTTGATCATACACATACTTAATGTTTTTTACTATTAGTAATAAGAGGCTAATAACTTACAAATAAATTGTTTTAATTTTTCTACAGGTAAACTGGAACGGAATCAAAACACTTACGATATTTCTGGGAAAGGATATAAATATAAATAAATTTCATGATTCTTATAAGTTGGTTCTTATTTTAATTTCCATTTTATAATTTCAATTATTTTTACTTGAACAGAACACATATAAGACTCATATAAGATAAAGGTGCTATTGCCATTAGTAAAAAATGCCTTGCAAGTTGTAGAATTCTTAAACGCCTTTTGGGCGATATGTCTAATTTTATTAAACTTTTTCTAAACCTATTTCAAAAAATTTTTCGAACAAATTTTCAAAATTTGGTCAATCTTGCAAAATTAATAATTTGAGTTTTTTTATTAGCTTTTATATTTTAATAACTTTTCGAACAAGATGAGGATCAAGTTTTGTTATAAAGTTTTGTCAACTTTTTAGTGAATGAATATTTTAATAATGTGAATGTGAATTAGAGATTATAAATATTACAAATTTGTAAATTCATTCAATTTTGAAATTTATTATTTCGTTCTTTAAAAATTGAAGATGAACGAACTGAAGAAGTCAATCGTTAAATATTTTTTCGTTACTGCTGCTACTTCAAATTAAATATCAAACAATCAATTAAAAAAATTAGGTAATCGAAATTTTTTGATGAAAAGGCGTATTGTATTTTAATTTATATTCATTCTTTTTACTTCAACACTTTTATTTTATACTTTTGATCACACTAAAATGAACTTAAAATCAACACAAGTTACTTGTTTCGGCTTCCATCGAATAAAAAGAAAGCGAATTTATTACCAGTATCACATTTAAAATTTTTCCATATAAAATTGCAATGAAAAATGGAAACTTTTTTTGAAAGTACATTTTTTCGTAATCATACTAGGGGCTCCAATTTAAACTAAAGCAAGTCTAATTATTGTTTAACTTTATAAAATAATAAGATGTCAGAGCACACTCTCATTAGACAAAAAAGTTTTTGAGGATTTGATTTTAAAAACGAACACGAGAGGTGCTATTTTGTCATTTAATGAGTTTTTAGATTTTAAGTATCAAAATAGGATATGAGCTCTGTGAAATCTGCAAAAAAATTTGCGACTATGAGAACGCAATCTCTGAGCTTGTCAAGATCGTAAAATAACATGATGTTTAGTTCTGCACGCTCTGAAGTAAAAAACGATCTTTTCGAAGTCTTAAGAATTAAAGCGGACGAGGTATTAAAAAATTTGATATCAACATCGAAAAAGAATATAAATTATCCATAGTCATTCAATTTTTTTAAGGAGACTTATAAACATAGAGGCAATACAGTGGAAATGACAGAAAATAGCTGAGCTTACATAACGACTTTTGCATCAATGATTCATATACGAAAGCGATTCTTTTACTAACATTTGAAAAATGTAAATAAAAATTGTTTTGAGGCTAAATTTATTTTGTACACACATAAGATATACATATTCGCATTTTGGAAATTAATAAATAAGAAAAAAAAGAGCTTATCTTAAAAAGAAAGAAAAAATAAAGTATTAAAATAAGCGAAAAAAAACAAATATTTAAATCAAGTACCAACGAATCAACGAAAAAATGTAAACGAAATTATTTGCAATAAGGTAAGTCAAAAGATTTTTTTACGTATTAAAATATTAACTCTGGATATGAGGTACAACGTATGTACATATGTATATGTATATTCAGTTAATATTTGAAAATGTATATGTATATTCATTTTATATGAGCAGAAACAATTGTCTTGATCAACAAGTACTGAAGGACCCTTTTTAGCACTTTTCCAAAAAACTTTTGAAAAAAAGTGCTTATTAATTTTGCTCTGTCCGTCCGTCTATACGACGGACGTTAATTTGTAACGGAATTTTTGATACCGTTTTCCTTCTACACTGTACGTTGTTGGAGCCTGAAATTTAACCCAATATTAGAGCTATTAGACACTAATAAGTGGTTCATTTCGTTAGGAGAAAATTTATTTTTTTAACCCAACTTTATTTTTTTGAACACATTGTATTATGTTATTTTACATTTGAAAACTTAAAAATCTTGATGCATTGTACATTTTATTTCCTTGCTTACTTTAATAAGAAAAGTTTTTATTCAGTTTATTTTCATTTAAAAATTTCTGCTTAGAATTAAAATAGTATATAAAAAACAATAGTTTTGAAAAAATTTTGGATACACAATTTGTCAAATAAAATTTGTCAAAAAAAAAATCCTTACGGATTCGGGTTCGCATTGTTCTGCTTCATTTTTATCATAGTGATAATAGCGCACAATAATATAAACTAACTGCCTGTGAAATTGTGATAAAATGTATTTAAGCTTTAACTTTTTACTCATCGCAAATTTCCAGTTTTTCAAAAAAGTAAAAGCCAGTATTTCAAATAAATGAAATAAAACATTTTACTTGAAACATATTGCATTTTCTAATTTAATTAAATTCCTAAAAATCTTTTTTAATTTAAACAAATCCTTTAAACGAAAACATTTTTAGTTGCATAAAATTTAAAGGCCTCATGATTTTTGGTTTTCCAGATAATTCTGATCTATTAAGTTGGGTCAAACCAATGGTTTGTATTGTAGCACTTTTCTCTTCAACAAGTGAAAATACTGCTTTTAACAGTTTTTGCGTACTTATAACATTATTAAAATTATTTTATTATAGAATTATTTAGATTTCCATATATTTAGGATGAACGAGATATGTCGTCTTTGAAATAAAGCATAAATTAATTAAAAGAGGGGTTAACATAATGCTCGATTTTAAGAATTAATTGCGTGAGTTAAGAAAAATTATTATACTTTTTAATGTCATGGAATTTATCGTTAGCTTTCGGCGTTTATAGAAACCTGGGAAAGCTCGCATTTTTCGAAAGGTGCAAAAAATTAAAATTTTACAAATTTCGAGAGCAAAAAAAATTTAAAAAAGAATATATCAATATTTAAAAGCTTCTTAAGTTTCAGGCTCCCAAAACGTTCGGTTTAGAAGAAAAGCAATATCATAAGTTCAAAAAAATGGCTTAAGATAACGTTTAATTTTAGAAGCCATCTTGTCTTTTTAACGTTTAGTTTTACTATTCGCGGTAGAAAAAGCCCCACACTACTTTCCTGCTTTAACAAAATTTGAAAAATGTTTATGGTTTTTTTAAAATAAGTATCAAAAAATGGTATTTTTAGGTCTTCGAGTAGCTATAACTTTTAGTTGGAGGGAATAGGTAAATATTTTCTTCTACGGAAATAAGTTTCTAATAAAGATCTATGTACGTAGGAAATTTCAGCTTTCTATCTGCAAGGGTGTAGAAGCTTTGTAAACAGACACACGGACAGAGTGAAACCAATAAGCACTTCTTTCGAAATTTTTTTGGAAAAGTGCTAAAAAGGGAGATGCCTCAAAATTGAATAATTATAGACCAATTTCTCTCTTTGCTTTATTAAAATGCTTTATTAAAATTTTGTGAGGAAATAAATAGTAGTTCGAATGCTTCCGAATGCCCAGTGTACCAATGCAAGATTGTACCAATTAGAGATATTTATTGTTCTTAAATCTGCTTTCAATCCATCTTTTTCTCGGTCTACCAGGTCTTCTATATCCTTCCGGAACTTTTTAATAAACTTTTTTTACCAGCCACCTAATTCTTTGTGCTTTTATGAGCCTGACTACATTTCGTTTTTGTATTAAATTTTCGATCTCGTGATTATACCTAATACGGTACAATCCATTGTCAGTTCCAATAGGTCCATATATTCCTCTTAATATTTTTATCTTTAAAAGATGCAATTGCATGGATATCTGTAGTTTTTGGTGTCCAATTTTCACAGCCATATGTTAGTACAGGTCTTATTAATGTTTTGTAAATTTGAAATTACTGGTTCCTCGATAATAATTTTGAGTGTAATAACTTTTTGTGGGCGAAGTATGCTTTATTTGCAGTTTGAATTCGTTCTTGTATCGTAGTCGATGTATCTTTATTAGAACTTAATATCACACCCAATTAAGGAAACTCTCTAACTACTTCAAATTGATAATTAATTATATTGAAGCCTTGTGGTATTCGTAACGTGTTGTTTGGGCGAACTATGTACTTTGATTTATTAACATTAATATTTAGCCCCACTGCTTTAGATAATTTTTGAAGTTTTTCGTATGTTTCTTTCAAGTTTTATGTATGTTTCTTTTTGGGGGACAAAGGTTGGCATGGATCCTAGTCGGTTTTACATTTTCCTAACACGTGAAGCTGAAAATGCTAGGCAATGCCCTCTGAAAGCATCAGCTCTGCCAACAAATCCGACTGTCACCTCCTAGGAGGTAGGTAACATAGTTATCTGCCGGGTGTCTCCTGGGCAACTTACTTAGCAAGTCTGACGAGAGGAAGCGCGCGGGCGGTAAATCCAGATCCGTATGACCTAGAATAAGCGGTCTGCGTCTGCGTCTGATCCCTGAGGGACGGCAGTTTTTGAATCCTGGAAGTAGGTATAAGATGTAAACATTAATCATTTGTGTAATGGAGAAAACAAAGGATTTAGTACCTTAGATGGTAATCCAACTACGTTGGAGAATCTACCCTCTTCGGAGGTCGGCTCTACGGGTCCTGGGGAGAGCCATTTATGCACCATAAGCAAAGCTGGTGAAGTCAATCTTAGACGCCTACTCAACAGATGACGAAGAACTCACCAGAGAAACAGATTGGATCCTAAAGCAAAAGAGGTCCAGTAAAAAAGAAGAGCGCAATCACCCCGGAAGTGGTCCAGGTGACGATCAACGCTGAGAAAGCGGATATTCCTAACTCTAAAAGTCGAGGCGATATCACGAAAAACTCTAGGCCTCCATTAGTCATAAGTAATGTGGTTGACTATAATAAAATAGAGTAAATATTAAAAAATAAGGACATTAATTATAAGGTTAAAATGATGAATAACAATCAATTTAAGCTTATTGTAAATTCCAAAATGGATTACAGGAATCTTATCAGGGGTGTGAATGGATCTGAACTAGAATGGCATACGAAAACAAGCGGACCAGACCAATAAAAGTCATGGTAAGAAATCTTTACCCCAGTTGTAAACCGGAAGAT